TTTTTAATGAACTAATTAACTGATAAAAATTAAAGAATTGTATGTTTGAATCATTTATTCATTTTCTTTTTGGCTTAACCCTCTACCGCACGCAATATGATTAACCTGTAAAAAATATATATATTTGACTGTTTTTCTTTTCTTAAAATGGCTTAACTTGAAGTGCTGTAAAAAAAAAATTGGAAAAAAACAATTTTTTTTTAAGGTGCTTTATGATATGTTACCATATGGCAACAATGTCCAACAGTGGATCTAACTTAGAAAATTCAAATTTAAAACTTTCCTTATAATTAATCTTTTTTTTTTTTGTTGTTTGAAATAATTTATTTGGTGTTGCAGTATTATGAGGTTTAACTCAGAACTTTTAAATGACACCTTATACATACTTTAACACAACTCATTTTAAAACAGCTTTCATTTATTCTATTGTTTTTTGCTGAATACTATTGAAAACAATCATAATATTGTATTATCATGTATACAACATACAGTGAGTAAATATTTTCTCCAGTAAACATTGTAACAAATAAATAACAAGTCTAGTATACCCAGATGCATCCGAATAATGTAGCTACTAGCTAGCAATATTTATAGATATTATACTATATACTGTACTACGCCTGTCTTATCTGCCTCTGAGCAAACTGACCTGAACTGTCTCTATCAAATGTCCAGTCTGCATTCTTCTTATGGTCACTAAAACCCATCTCACCCTCACTTTCATCTGCAGGAAGAGCCAGTTCTGTCCTTTTCTTCTTTAAATCACCATAGAACATGGTGGTGCTCGCTAATACACTGATCCCTCTATTGATATCTATTCAAGAGTAGTATTGCCATTAAAACTAAATTTTATCCATAATGCGAATGCCATTAACACATGACTAATCAACATTATATTTCTAGCATTCATGTTGTTATTGTTACAACTTAAAAGTTGACAGCTGACCTTGCTAGCTAGCTAAACTATTGCAATATTGCATGTTCCACTATTGCACCGTGTTGCCATTTGGTAACATATACATTTGATCGGTTTACAAAAAACTAATTTGATTTTAAAAAATTGTGTTGTGAATATGTCTTACTTGAGGTGATGTTTCAGATTTTTTCATGGATCTGACATAATTTGATGCTTTGTTTTATTGATGTTTACATTTGCATTTACCAACTAATCACAATAAACGCCAGTCTGTCAGAAATCGCACTACAGAAAAACACTGCACGTCATGTGACTTAACCAAAGCACATCATTGGCTACTCTAAGGTCTTCTCTTTCCAACAAAAAAATAATATGTTGGTCTTAAACAGTGGCAGGAAAATGAACACGAGTATCATGTTACCATTTGGTTACGCCATGCAGTAGAGAATTAATCCCTTTATTAATCTGTAGTCGCCACAGTGTAATGAATCGCCAACTTATCCAGCATATGTTTTACATAGTGGATGTCCTTCCAGCCGCAACCCATCACTGGTAAACATTCACACACGTGTGTGTGTGTGTGTGTGTGTGTGTGTGTGTGTGTGTGTGTGTGTGTGTGTGTGTGTGTGTGTGTGTGTGTGTGTGTGTGTATGTGTGTGTGTGTTTTATGACAATTGGTTAAATTGTACTTAAAATACTTAAAGTTGGGAGGAATTGTATATATAATGCTGTATTGGTAATTATAAGTTTTCTAAATTTGGCTAGAGGTAAAATCTCATTCTTAGTATTGCACAACAGGTATATGGTCACATTTTGTGTGTAATTGCACATAAGTGGACATTGAGTTAAAAAAAAAATTGCGGTGGCTTGAGGTTAAATGTTCTTTCAGATTGATGAAATATCAACGACCACGCCTGGCCAAAAACAAAAAAAGGAACAGATGACTTACTGTCATTTGGCCAAGTTGTGTGAGACTGGCGTAAACGCTTATGAAATGATGTGGTGTGCTGTAGAGAAATGTTCTTGCTTATCGCCACTGCAACACTTGACGCATCATTCAGCACATTGACGACATCACACATTGAATAACATAACCAATTGGGATGATGTTCAATTTCTGTCAAATACATTTATTTAATATCTGGTAGGGTGTTTGTACATGCACTGTACACTACCTGACAAAAGTCTTGTCATCGATTCTGTATGATCAACAAATAATAACTTGACTTCTTGATCATTTGGAAAAGTGGAAGAAGGTAGATTTTTCAGTGGATCACCTGTTGAACTGCATCCCAATCATCACACATACTGCAGAAGACCTATTGAACTCAGCTTGGACCAAAGATTCTAACAGAAATCAGTCAAGTTTGATGAAGGAAAAATCATGGTTTAGGGATACATTTAGTATGGGGGTATGTAAGATATCTGCAGAGTGTATGGCAACATCAACAGCCTGAGGTATCAAGACATTTGTGCTTCCCATAACATTACAGACCACAGGAGAGGGCAAATTTTTCAGCAAGAAACTATCCTGACAAGTTCCTGAAAGCAAAGAAGGTCAAAGTGCTCCAGGATTGCCCTGCCCAGTAACCAGACATGAGTATGTTTTGAGCATGTCTGGGGTAAGATGAAGGAGGAGGCATTGAAGATTAATTCAAAGAATCTTGATGAACTCTGGGAGTCCTGCAAAAACGCTTTCTTTGCCATTCCAGATGTATGGCAGAGATGTATGGATGCAGTTGTCCAAGCTTAAGGGAGTCATACACAATATTATTTTTTTTTCCACTGCACCATGACTTTATATTTTATACTTTTGTCTAAGCAAACTTACTGTCTTAAATAAATAATTAAAAATCAAGGCATGGTCATATTTTATTTTGGTAAAATAAGCCTAATCTAGAGGCCTTTGCCTTTCATATAAGCCACTTTTGATACCAATTGATCAACTAGAAGTCAAGTTATTATTTGTGGTTCCTAAAACATGGGGACGCGACAAAACGTTTGTCAGGTAGTGTATACAGTATGTATGCATACATCTAAAAACATGTGTGAACATGTTTTGTAACATTTTAAATTTTGGACTGTTTTAGTTTTTGTGTTACTGTAAAATAGGTGTTTAGATTCAGGGTTAGGATTAAGATATGTAAAAGTGTGAATACATATTTTTCTTTTAAGAGGGAGCTATTATGTCCCATTTTACAAGATCTAAACTAAGGGCTCTATTTTGACGATCCATGTCCAAAGTGCAGTGTGCAAAAGCAATAAGGGCGTGTCAGAGTCCACTTTTGCCATTTTAAGGAAGGAAAAATCCGCTTTGTGCCATGGCGCATGGTCTAACAGGGTTGAGCTTATTCTCTTAATGAGTTATTGGTGTTTTTGAGAATAAAACAATCAGAGTCTCAACTCCCATTCCCTCTAAGAGTTGAGTCGCCCCATAGTGCATTTGCTATTTAAATGGCGGACTTTGTAAGTGGAAAAACTGAACGCTTCACTAGAGAGAAAACAGTTAAACAGAGATGCACAGACATCCATTAGCCTACATAATTAATTTCATTTAATAAGCACAAAGATTTGTTTCAAAGCTATTTCTAAATTCAGTTCTAATTTCCAGCAAATTAATAAATGTACAATAATAACGGAGTGTGTTCAAAAAACAGTTATTTCCTAACACACATGCTATGCCCCATATGATCTAAAACCTGACAGGTGGGCAAATCTAAGCTTGTTTTTAATAAAACAAATATAAATATTCATATAACATATAATACTACTACTACTAATAACATTATACAAAAGCAAATGAATAAACTGAAAAAGCCCCCTGAGATGTAGAAGGCAGGGAGGTGGTGTTTTTTATACTTTATGCAGGCTAAACTATAATCATTTTTGTAATATGTTAATCCTTTAATTCTTTTTCATTTGTAAAGGTAGTTGGGTATTGCTGTACACCCTGTTTGTATTAGGCAATATCTAACAGAGGCGCACAACTAATGCGATCTGCGCAGGAATTTAGATCATTGGTCTATTGTGCAGTCTATTATAGTTCCTCAAAATAGCAACGTGCCAGCAATGCACCTTAACACGCCTCCTTTTTTAGACCTGAATGCCTATGGGCGCACATATTAGCGCAAATGCATTTGCTATTTAAACAGCGTGCTGCAAAACATCTTATGCTCCGAGCTGAAACTAGCAAACAACAATTGCGTCGCACCTTGGGCTGCATTGCCTTGCGCCACATTGCACCATGTGTATGCTAGGGCTTTAAGTCTCTGATGTCCCTATGGGTGTGTATGTGGTTTTAGCTCATCATACCCCACGAATAATGCTTTATAACTGCCACTTTTAGGATTTTATACTAATTGTGCCATTTTAGTGACTGTCGCTTTAAATTCAAATGAGATTGTGCTCCTTAATGTCTATGGCTGTGTCTGAAACCGCCTACTCCTCAGTAGGTACTGCATTTAATTTTAAATGTATTATTCGGCCATTAGAAAAGTACGTTCTATACAATATAAACGTGAAAAGTATGAATGGCATACAATCGCATACTGATTTTAGCGTACTATATAGTATGGAAGTGTGGACGCAGCATATGTGTCAGTATTGTGGCAGATTCAAAACAAATGAGAAAGAGGACATCACTAATGGGTGGAACTTTCCCCCTCTAAAGACTTGTTCATAGTTCAAAGGGAGAATGTCAATCAAAGTGTTTCTGCAGACTTTTTATAAAGTTTGATAATAAAAAAACAAAGTGTTAACATTTTTTTGACATTTAGAAGCTTGTTATATTCACAGACTTTTGACACACAACTGTGTTTAAACCTCTCATAAAAAAAGTTTTTTTTTTTTGCATAGTGACTAACTATAACAAACTAAATTTATCTAAGTAACAAACAAAACAATTGTCATAGAGCAGCAGAAAATAAGTTGTTTGTAGCAAATACTGATTTAAATTGTGTATTTGCTACATTTATGGTTGTTATTTATTTTTAATTTTTTTTTAACTGTGAAGAAAACATTTTGGAACACCCCACAAGACTGAATAAATAATGACTTTATCTCATTTTCTCTATTTAACCTGCAGGAATATTAAAGGAAAAACCAAATGGAGGACATCATGTCAGAACGCAAATCCCCGCCGTTGGATTCACTAAACACAATCAAATCTTTTCGGAAGTTAACCTGTGTGAAATGGAAATAAAACCCAACAGAAAACCCATGAACAGCAAAGAAGAGCAACTCCTCCATTCATCGGTCTAGACTCCCCCATTGTTTCTCTATCTACCGGCATCACATTAAATAAGCATCACCTAGTCTTTTCTCTGGGCGGCCTTATGGATGAATAACCCTTGCATATCACCCACGTCGAGTGTCGTTTTGGATTCTTCTGTTTGACGGTGGGCGAACTGTAGAGGTGGCCATGTCTGGTAAGGGCAACCCCAGCCCACACCTCAATGGCTTCCCAATGGCCCACTTTTCCTATTTCTTCCCGCACATGCTGGGGGGGCTTTCTCCACCTTCACTTCCCACTCTGCCCCTCAGTGGATACAGCACACCTTCGCCAGCCAGTGAGTATGACATCCAGCCCTTTAAGATCTTCTGCACAATGAAGTGAAATTGATTTTGATGTGTTGGGATTGCATTTTGTGTCGAGCATTGAGATAAACTGTGTCATCCTTCTTTTTTTGGTCATCCTTTAGTTTAGAGTGCATCACAAAAAGCTTTTAAATGACATTCTGGGCAGATTTCCATTCATGTTTGTACACTTTCCTCTTCTTTTTCACAAATTGCTGTTTCCCTTGTGTTCACAGTACATTTGTTTGCTTGGCAGTGTTGGTCTTGGAACCTGTGGACCTTAGAGCAATTTGTGCTCATGGTTGGGTCTGTTCTTGAGTGCTGGAACATTGCGATTTTTTTATGCTCTATGGTGAATCGCGTGTCCTGATCTGCAGTGCACTGGGCCATAATTACCATAGGATTGTTGTACAACAGAAAAGTGGGCATATGGTCATTTCAGCGCAGAACTTGGGCTTTATAAATATGGTTGTGAGTAAAAGCTATAATCAAATATCACAGCTTTTGTCACAGCACATGTAGGCTAGTTTTTTCAGTTAGCATTCAGATTTATTTTACCCGTTTTGATGTCTTTAATTAACTTTAAGCAAGTTAATTAAGATTATGTTTTAGATGTTTGTCTTTAGTTTCAACATGCTGTATTAGAGCTGTAAAAAAAAATTTTGCCATAAAAGTTAGGCCTGATAGGGTCTGAGACAGACAGAATTTGGCCTGAGCTAGACAAGTACATTTTGATTGACAGCTTCTTAAAAAGACTGAACCCGTTTATAGCCCAACATTACTCAAATGTGCACATGCACACAACTCTTTTGCCCTTTTTCATGAACGAGTCATTTACAGTATGTGTTTTTTTTATGTGTTTATATGTGTGTTATTTATTAATGACCAACACACGCTTTAGGCCACTTAGAAGTTGGAACAGTGAAATCAAATAAGTCCTCTGTAATATCGTAACATCTCAGCACTCTAAATAGGCCTAGGTACATCTTTAAATTGGCCAATATACCAATAAAAATAAGTCTTTCTTAACAAATTAAATAAAATAAATGATAAATTATGACAGGTATTAGGCAATATTTTTAATTAAGATAAAGGCTCTGTGGGATTTGTTTCTCCACTTCTCTTCACAATCTGGCATTAAGGTGATGGTAAAGTTAAATATTTAAAGAATAATGTCAACATTAGCCTATATAGGCATACTCTGTCTACATTATGATTTTATGGTTCAATTACTATTTAGTTATAATTTGAAAATCCTTTACTCACCAAGGTTTTTGTTGAGGAATTATTGAATTCACTGTAAATGGATTTAGCGCAGTTCTGCGCTCACTGAGCAACACTGAACACCCTTTCACTGTTGCTGCTACTGGCCTGGATGCATACTGTTCTGGCTAATTTTGCAAGTTTTGTGTTAGATTGTTTGTTCATCTTCCACCAGCCAGGAACATCTATTTCATTTTCCATGACACCGATTTCAATGTAGCGAGTGACCTTGTCATCATCATCATCATCCCTGTCAGCTTACTGTACATCGCTGTTTAACGCTTTACCGTAATACGCAAGCCCGGCCCGACCCCATCTAAAGCGATAGAAATTAAGCCTGAACCCATCGGGTTCGGGCAAAGATGTTCAGCCCTATGCTGTATGTAAGTGTTTTACTCTTCTAAAGCATAAAATAGCATAATATGTTTGCAGATATTTAAGAAACATGGTAAGTGAACATATTTGTTTTTCTGAAAAACAGTGCTAAAGTCAGGTATTCTCCTTTGAATTCTCCTGGTTGCCTTGGTGGAAAATGCAAACTTTGCAGGATCACAGCAGAGCCCTTGAAAATGAGACGCAGATTCAGAGGCCTATATTTTAACGATCTAAGCACAAAGTCTAAAGCGCATAAAGCGAAAGCATTAGGGACATGTGCAAATCTACTTTTGCAATTTTAAAGACAGAAAAATTTGCTTTGCGCCCATGCAAGTTATCTAAATACATAAGTGAAAAAACGAAATGCTTCACTAGCAAGAAAACAGCTCAACAGACCATCTGCACGAGGATAAAGAATAAGCTTCCTTCATTTGGCCTCTTTACTTTCTCTTTACCTTACTTTTACTCTTTACTCCTTTACTTTCATGGAGTAAGGAAATAGTGAAAACTCCATTAGCCTACATATTTCATTTTGTATTTTTGTTTGTTAGCGCAAATATTCATTTTGTTTCAAAACTATTTCTAAATTTAGTTCTAATTCCCAGCAAACGAATAAATGAACAATAATAACGAAGTGCGGTCAAAAACCGTTGCTATATCCAAACACCCAAGATACTCTTATGCTCAATATAGTAACGCATCTGTCTCCAAAACCCGACAGACTTTCATCACTTTCATTAGGCCAGCATTTCTCAATTCCAGTCCTTGTGTCCCACCGTTCAGCACATTTTGTATATTTCTCTTTTTACATCAGACGTTTGTTCTAATTCATCATTAAATTAACTCTACGGGATATTCTGAAAGATTTTATTTTGAAGGGGGAATGATTATGTGTTTGATTCAGAGTGCATTTTGGCTTGTGATATGTGAGTTAATATTATATCCCACTTCAAGCATCGCTAGTAAGAAATTGCAGGCAAAAGCAATGAAGGAGAAGGGACTGTTGGACTGCGTGGGGATCAGTGTGTCAGTTGGTCATCTAAATCAGCTGTGTTAAATAAGAGAGACATGCAAATTTTTCAGATCAGCGGGGTGGAAGGGATGGGATTGTGAAGTGCTGCATTAGGCTAATCCAGTTTCATTAACAGTGAAAAATAGACTTTACAGATGTGAAAAATAAAAGTGCAAAGTGCAGTACGCTGGAGATAGTGTGGCTCTAATGAAGCAAACCATGCACATATATTCTAGAAATGTTTAATAATTCAATTATATTGCCAAAAAAAAAAATCCTAAGTGCTTAAAGAATTTATTCCATATGCCCATTCAATTTAATTTCTCAACTTTATATTTAGCCCTCACGAATCCAATGTTAAAAGAAAAATCTGATAAAACGTTAATGAGAATTTTGCTCATACCCTGTAAGAAGGCAGTAACCAGAAAATGCTTACAGTTCGACATACCTCAAATTAATGACTGGTTTGAAATCGTTTTTGAAATCTACAAGATGGAGAGGACAATGAATTTTAGATTACAGTCTGAGGAATTTAATGAGAGATGGAGGAAACAGGTAGAATATTCTTCTAGTAAGGCCAGACTTAATATAGAGTATAGAATAGTTAGAAAGACGAGAATTCATTTCATGAAAGTTCATTACTTCATTCATTCTTTCAGGTGCAACCCAGTTCTGGGAAACATCCATACACACTGATTCACACATACACTATGGCCAATTTAGTTTAATCAATTCACTGTTACCACATGCCTTTGGACTGTGGGGGAAACCGGAGCACCCGGAGGAAACCCACGCCAACCTGGGGAGAACAAACTCCACACAGAAATGCCAACTTACACAACTGGGACTTGAACCAGCAACCTTCTTGCTGTGAGGTGACAGTGCTAACCATTGAGTCACTATGTCGCCATGCAAGTTCATAAAAGGAAAAATAGTTTCAAGATCAGTAAAATAAAAGTACCTACATAGTAAATTTGAACACCTTATGTGTCAAAAGTGCCATTTTCACAGTTTTATCTGTTTATAGTTCAAAAAAATTTAAACTTGAGGACGGATTGGGCACCACATTATGAGCTAAGAAACAAACACAACTGGATTATGTAAGTGGATTATCAGATTCTACTTTGATTACATACACAAGTGATTTCATTATTATTGTAGTTTAATACCTCATTAGTTGGCTTTAGTTGGGGTCTTAGGATTTGTTCATATTTGTCAAGCTGGTTAGATTATAATAGTCTTTAACAGTTTGAGTGTCACAGAAGGATGGCGTCAAACCCCAGGTGAGTTTTCTTGCATGTCTGTGTTTGCCATGTATTTATTGTAGTTCACTCTGACATTATGACAACTGAGATCTTACAGTGTGACATGGAGATTTTTAATGCTTGGTTGTGTTTATAAGATGCAAAGCAATGTGTGCTTCATTGGTAGAAAATCATGTCATTTTTTCATATACCTTACTTTGATTATATAAAGCTACTTAGCTTACAATGAAAACGACAACGTCATATTTCCTAGTTTCTCTGAAAGTCCAGCCCGCAAGAGGCTCTGATTGGTTAGCTAACATAATGTTTTGTAATTTGCGGATTGGCTCCACGTCACCAGGAAAAGTGCCAAGCCTCTACTAGCATGCACTTTTTGGCTGTGTAAACACTGTCAGTCAGATTAGCTGTTAGCCATATCAGTTTAAGCTGAGATAAAAAAGTGAAAAGGACACAGCTAAACCTCATGCCTGCTCTCTAAAATCAAATCTGACAAGTGTCGTTCACATATATTTGGAATAAACATGTGTAAGTAATATGAAACATTCAAATACAGTATCTTTTGAGAGTTTGTTATTCAAGATGTATAACATAGAGAAAATGACTGCATGCTTACAGGGGTTTGCCAAACAGCATTTCCCATTGTTTACATCCTTGTTTACGTCCTCGCTACAACACAACAATAACACCAGAAACTGTGCATGTAATTGATCGATTTTGACAATTAAAATTACCTTCTATTATGGTTGGAGGAGTTTTTAGCCGAAATCTGTTCTGAACTGGAGGAGATTTTGGAAGCTATCCTTTGTCAAATGCTAGAGCTATATATATATATATATATATAGTTCTCTGGAACATAATTAAAAGTAAATTGTAAGCACTTCTCTCTTTGTGTAATGTCCTTTGGAAGCCCTAATACAGAAACCGGACTAGCTCTGTAGAAATTTACCCTTTCTTTTAGCTTTCTCTGCTATAAAATAACAGCGCCTCTAGCCGTGCTCCTTTGCTGAGTGGTGAATGGTGTATGTGCGTGGTGAATGCGCATAACCTGAAGCATTTGTGATTTTACTAATCCAGATGT